TTGTTATTAAGCTTGGTATTTCTCAATGCTTTATAAGCATAAGCTAGATTCAAGTTAATAACTCTACAACTACTTATTCTTTTCAGACATAAGTTAAACTTTGACTATGCTCTTTTAAAGCTAAAATCTTTGTTATTTTTTTAGTAATCATTACTGTTTCCAAAAACTGTTCTGTTCATAATTTACTGATTCATAATCTGTAATCTCCAAATATCACAAGATCTGCTTATTAGTTTCTAAACTCTCTCATACTTATATCTTATACTTCTCTATTTGGCAAACTCTTATTAATTTCATTAAATTATACAATATTTTACAAAATTATTGTACATCCAAATGACTTATTTAATAATTTTGTTAACTAGCTTGCTTTTAGTCATTAAATATTACTTTTTTTAAATTTTTTAAGTAATAATTCTTACAACTCTGTATATACTCTATTTATTGACCAATATTCTATTGAGATTCCTATTTAACATTCTATTTATACTATTTGTCAAGTTTATATTATAACATTTTGGATATTCCAATATTGCTTTCAACAATAGTCTATTATCATGTCTAATATTAACTGAAAAGCTACTTGGCTTTATATTAATAATAATCAAAAAGTTACCAACTTTACCTATAGCTTTCATTTCTCTACTTTAAAAACCTTTCATATTAAAATTATCTTAAATGAACTATCTGTTTCTCATATTCTTTATAAATACAACTCTTCTTATTCTTCTCTCTGGCATTAATGTAATCAAACTAGTTCTTCATTATACTAAACTCTTTGTTCTTCTATCTAAACAATTTATCACTTAATTTCTAATTCTCTTAACTACATCTTAAATGTTACTGTTCTTGACATATTTACTAATTCTATTTCTAATTTATATCAAGAAATTTTTACACTTAACAGTTTTAAACTGCACAATTTTTCTTATATATTATCTCTTATTTCTATTTTATTTGACTTAGTCTCTATTGACCTTATTTTTACTATTCATAATAGTTTTATTCTTTATTATATAGTTATTTCTCTTTCTATTAAATTTTTTCTTCATTTAATCAGCAAATATATAAATAAATATAAATCCTATATTGTATTTTATGTTCAGCACAGTCTTCAATTACATTTTCTACAAACTCAACTTATAATTCTCTTTTTAGACTACTATTATCTCCTATCTCAATACCACAAATTATTACTAAAATTGATCTTTGGACTATCCAATGAATTAAATATCATACTTCTCTCATATATATTATTACTAATACTCAAATCTAGGTGAACTTTGACTACTCTTGTAGGTTTAGGTTACAGATTATATAACTGAGTTTTTATTCTTTATATGTAATTTAAAAGCAAACTTTTCTTTATAAAAACTTCAATTAAATTTCAATAAAATTAAAAAATATGACCTTATTATTAATATTAAAAAATAAATAAATAAATAATTATGATTATTTTTTTGTACATAATTATGATATAATAAATATAATAATATCTATCATCAACTTAAACATTTCAATAAATTTATTTGTGATATAAGATTCAGATAAATCATTTTGTTGAAAATTTGCAAAATCAACACAATATTCAAAAAAAAAATCTAGATCACTCTTCAAATTTCATCATGTTCTGATATTGAAATTAAGAATCATATATAAGAAAGAAAAAAAAATAATGAGAAAGAAAAAAGATGCAAAAGAGAAAAGAAAAATAAAAGACAAAATGAAGAGTCAAAAAGAAGAGAACACATATATTGCTTACATTAAATCACTTGAAAGTATAAAATTTTCTTTGAGTTGAAATTTTTTTTCTTCATTTTTTTATATCACTGTTTTGAATTTGTTCTTGCTTGTTTCAAGCACTTATTACAGGAACTTTTTTCTTTAGAAAAATTTTTACATTTTTTATATGAGTAACAACTATTGCAGTACTTGAATACTTCACTTAACATTCTATAATACAATCAACAGCATTAGAATGAAAATAAAAAAATTATTTTGATTATTAAAAAATACAATATATGAATAATCAACATCATTATTATTATCATTATTATTGTATGTATAATTCAATCCGCATATCAATTTAAACTCAGTTTTGTAACTTTTTTTTAGAGGTATACTAGGTTCGTGGGCTTGCCCTTAACAGCACTCATATAATCATATTCCAAAAATATAAGCGTACTCAATTCTACAAATTAAGTAGACTCTATTGTAGTGATCCAAATCGTTAGTTGAAAACCAACTAGTTGACAACTTTCCAACTAATCGATTTGAAAAATTTTGAAACGACTAGTTGATTAAATCGTCTAGTTAAATTCCGAGATATTCGTGTTGATTTCTTTAGTTTGATTGGCCAATCAACAAATTTAGTTACATGATAGGAACAGTTGATTAGTTGAAACTATAGTTGGATTGGAAAATTTCTACCAGCTCGGAACATTACTCGTATATAGAATAGAGTTGTGACCCGAAACACGAAACCTTACCGAAACCTTTAAATTAGAATGTTTATAACTAATGCACATTTACTATGAAATAACAAAATATTTCTGAAATGCAATCTAATTATCATTATGTCTTAAAGTCTAAAATTAAATTTCTAAGCCTTTCAGTATAGTATTAGAGTTTCGGAAAAGGTTTCGGGATTTTATATATAGTTTCGGGTTTCGGATCACAACTTTAATATTGAACAACCCTCCTCTACCCATTTCTTCCCAATTCTAAAAGTCAAATGACGTAATGTATTGTTGTTCAATAGCAACTTAAACCAATTTGACAGGTTTAGTATGTCGCATATTAACCTCAAAAGGCTAAAATATGGGCATATGATATAAATTAGGGCAGACTAAAAAGAAAAACATTAAAATAAGTAATTTACCTATATATTTCAACTTGAACAAAAAGGAATTATGTTGGTATTCTAATCATAAAAAATGTAACATTTAACGTTGTAAAGATTAAACACAAATTCCTAATTGGTTCTACCAATCATTTCTGGCTTTGAGTTTATAATTAACTGGACTCAGTCTATGTCGTAGAAACTATTTTCAGTTTGTGCTCCGAAACGGTCAGAAAAGCCCGAGTAACTCGAATTTTGTAATTGTTTTTGTTAATTTTGGGACATCTGGTAAAAAAAACTGACCGAATGATTATTTGTCGATTCGATAAACTTTTTAATTCTGGATTAGTAATATAATGATAATTATATACAGCCAGACCTCGATATAATCCTCGAGTTGGTAACCAAAATACAATGTGACTAAGGTGATAGTGCCTATACAGAGGTTAAATCTCTTATGTTTTATAATGGTTGGTAAAACGAGAATAGAATTATTTTTATACTTCGTGACTATATCAAGAGTGCTATATCGAGGTCTGCCCGTATAATAATTATTACATAATATATGTCAAAAGGAAAACCATTCAAGTCTTCAAATGAATATACTGTATTTAGATTTAAAATATGCAAATGACTGTTATATTACCAAAACTTAAATATGGATCTTTTATTTAATAATGTATAAACTTTTTCACAAGTAACTAAAGCAAATGCACTAGTTGGATTAATTTCTAATGATTTATTTAAATCTGCTAGTGATTCTTCGTATCTGTTCATCATGTGATAAGTTGCTCCACGGCTTTCTAATGCAAATGCATTATTTGGATTAATTTCTAATGATTTATTTAAATCTGCTAGTGATTCTTCATATCTTTCCATCATGTGATAAGATACTCCACGGTTTGCTAATGCAAATGCATTATTTGGACTAATTTCTAATGATTTATTTAAATCTGCTAGTGATTCTTCATATCTCTCCATTATCCGATAAGTTTCTCCACGCCACCTTAACGCAAAAGCATTATTTGGATTAATTTCTAATGATTTATTTAAATTTGCTAGTGATTTTTCGTATTCGTTCATCTCATGATAAGTTGCTCCACGGTTTGTTAATGCAAATGTATTATTTGGATTAATTTCTAATGATTTATTTAAATCTGCTAGTGATTCTTCGTATCTGTTCATCTTGCGATAAGTTACTCCACGGTTTGTTAATGTAAATGCATTATTTGGATTAATTTCTAATGATTTATTTAAATCTGCCAGTGATTCTTCATATCTATCCATCATGTGATAAGATACTCCACGGTTTGCTAATGCAAATGCATTATTTGGACTAATTTCTAATAATTTATTTAAATCTGCTAATGATTCTTCATATCTCTTCATTATCCGATAAGTTTCTCCACGCCGCCTTAATGAAAAAGCATCATTTGGATTAATTTCTAATGATTTATTTAAATCTGCTAGTGATTCTTCGTATCTGTTCATCATGCGATAAGTTTCTCCACGATAACTTAATGCAATTATATTATTTGGATCAATTTTTAATAATTTATTTAAATCTGCTAGTGATTCTTCGTATCTGTTCATCTTGCGATAAGTTGCTCCACGGGTTGCTAATGCGAATGTATAATTTGATTTAATTTCTAATGATTTATTTAAATCTGCTAGTGATTCCTCGCATTTATTCATCATGCGATAAGTTTCTCCACGGTTTCCTAATACATGTGCATCATTTGGATCAATTTCTAGTGATTTATTTAAATCTGCTAGTGATTCTTCGTATCTATCCATCATGCGATAAGCTGCTCCACGATAATTTAATGCATTTGCATCATTTGGATTAATTTCTAATGATTTATTTAAATCTGCTAATGACTTGCTATATCTTTCTAATTTATAGTGTTCAATTCCACGATTTCTTAATGCTTCTGCATTATTTGGATCAATTTCTAATAACTTATTTAATTTTACAAACGGACCCTCCTCGTTCTTACCCATAGTAATATGATTTTCCGAATTGAAATTTGTATAATCTTGGCTAACGACATGCAATTGATTAAATCGTTGTTCTGTAAAAGTAAATAATTTTTTATTAATAAAAAATAATATTTATTAATTTAATCCTAATAATTCATTAAAAATAATAAACCTATTAAATTTGTATCTTGGATGCTATCATCAGCATCGTCTAGTTTAGATGAATTAAATTCTGCATCATTACTCGAAATGCTTATATTAATCTCTTTTGCTCTAAGATAAACCGGAACCATTCGCATATTTTTTAATTTATCACGGATTTTGACTATACTAGGACGTAAATTTGGATCACCATTCCAAGCATCACAGTAAATATTCATAAAGTCAACCGGAGTTCCGTTAACAGGGATTTCTCTTTTGCCATTAATTACTTGTAAAGTTATCCCTGTTGGATCAGATATATCTTCAAAAGGAGATACACCACTAGATAATTCCCAAAAAAGTATTCCAAGACTATAGACATCAGAAGCTTTATCTCGTTTATATAAAAATGGATTTTGGAGATATTGTGGATCGGAAAATGCATATGTTCCTCCACCAATAGATTTTGTGCTATTGTCTAATGATTTAGATAAGCCAAAATCCGTAATCATTAATCTACCATCGTGCACTAATATATTCCTATCATGCTATAACGGGTAGTAATATTAACGAATATAATAAAAAGAGAGAAATAAATTAAGCAGAAAAGGTATCTTACAAGATCACGATGAACAATATTTGCGTTGTGTAAACAATTAACCCCACTAGAAATCTCCTTTGCCATTCTAATTTTAGTTGGCCAATCTAATTCTGAGAAATGATTACGTAAATAGGAGCGAAGGTCACCATTATTGGCGAATTGAAGAACCATGTAATATGATTCTTTTTTCGGATCTAATTTCTCGAAATAATTAGTTAGCCGATAGAGTCGATTTTATAAGATATAAAATGAATTTACTTTGAGTGATTCCAAAAAATCGTATTATATTATCATGATGTGTAACTCTAGTAATATTTTTGACCTTATAGTGTATTATAAGATGTAATATTAGATATAGTAAACCAGTAAATGCGCAAATAAAGACGTAAATAAGAGCATAATGAAAAAAATAAAAGATATTATATAAAATACTTCTTTAATAAAGCCATTCAACGAAATATTATCATCACAATATAAACTTTTTAAAGCTATAGTTTTTTCAATATCTCTTGAATAAGCGCTATATATAGTACCAGACCCTCCTCTGCCTATTTCTTCCCAATTCTGAAAAGAATCATACTCAAATGACGTAATGTATTTTTGTTCAATAGCAACTTTAAACCAATTTGACATGTTTAGTATTCCGCATATTAGTTCTTTATGACCTCAAAGGTCAAAATATGGACATGTAGTAAAGTAATGCGATAAATGTAATATAAATTAGAACAGACCAAAAAGAAAATCATTAAAATAAGTTATTACCTATAACTTCCTAATGTAAACAAAAAGGAACTATGTTGATACGTATTTAACAATAAAAAATGTAACGTAACGTAAAATGAACTCGAGTGATACAAATTCCTAATTGGTTCTGCTGAACATTCCATGCGTAACATTGAGATTTAAGATATTTCTCATTTGAAGCAAAAACTTTTACACATTTTATATGTTGTTACGGTGTAATAGGGCGAGTTCAAGAATGAAGCAAATGCGACGAATTGTCGCTTCAAAATCGTTGACGTCGCGTTGGGGTGGTCGGTCAACTAATTAAATCAAACCTATATGTGGACAATGGTTGAATTAATTAGAAACAGTTTTTTTGATTATTTTATGTTACACGAAATGAAAATCACTTTTAATATTAAATTATTATAAAAAAGTAAAAATTTTTAAAATTTAACTCTTCTCGCTAAATTAAGTATTTGACATAAAAAACAACATAAAACAGACTAGAAAGATAAGTACTTTAATTTATCGCGGGGGTTTTTGCATTAGTATTTAGAATATACCTTTTTTTTTTAATAGGTTATAAATATTATTAGATATATAGGAGTCAATTCGTAAATAGCTTGAAATTTTTATTCTGTACATATTGTTTTTTAAATTTGGCATGAGTGTTCAAATTACTAGTTGTAATCTATTAATTAATTTATTTATTTAGTCGATAAATTAATAAATTAACAAGTAGATAGCAAAATCATGCGAGAAAGTTACCTAAAGACATCAAAAATTATAATTTTTTAAACTTCACGGTTAAAAGATATATTTTGAACAATGGGTGGTGGCACAGTAAAATGGTCACAGTTTACTATATATCATTTAGTCCTGGTTTACAACAAAATGTTTTGTTACCGTTACTAATAGAAAGTGGTACTGATCGCATTGCAACTAATTTAGCAAGATTTATCATCAAAGCGAAATTAATTTGATTTTGGTCAAGCTTAGTAAGCATTAATATTGTTGTTATAAACTAAAGCGATTAGAAGATACTGATTGAAATCAAATAATAAATAATCAGGAAGTTTTTTTTTGATCAGGAAATTTAATTTATAATTGTATGCATCTATTCTCAATCAGTAAAGTTGATTATTATAAAGATCATAATGAATAAATTGTCGAGGTGTTTTTGTTCTTTGATCAATACTAATTTATCAATTTAATAATAAAGAAAATGAATTTTTTTATTCAAAAAATTTTATTATGCATGTTGAACGAATAGTCATGTTTCTTTTAATGATTATTATAAAAATTATAAAAGAATTAAATGAAAAATGGTTATATAAAAATAATTCTTTATTCACTACAATCACGATGCCAAAATTTTCAAAAAAACATTGTCAAATGATACAACTAAGAGCAATTCAAGAAAAAACAAAAAAAATAAAAAAATAATAGATTTTCTCAATGATCTCAATAATGAAGATTTTAATTGCATTCTAGAGTTTATATATGATGTTAAAAAACAAAATGCACTAGAAATTCTTACATATTCAAAAAAAAATCTTATTGAGCTTATTCAAAACTTAAGTGATGAAAAAAAAAAATGCAATTAAGTTGTTAGAAAATGAGATACCCAAAAGGAAAAAATCAAGAAAAAATTATATCATTGTATTTATAACAGCAATTGGTTGATGTAATTTTTAATTTTCTTATCAGCTATAATCAAGCTACATTGTCTTGCAAAAGGAATGTAATTAGCTCAAATCTCAAAATAAAAAATTAATTAAATAAAATCAAAATTTAATTGTCAAAACTAAGTCACTTAGATTACAAAATTGACATCTTAATCAAAAAACATCTACTCATCTAGTCATAATACATTATTTAGTATTCAAATCTAAAAAGATTTCTCAAGAAAATTTTAAAGAAAAAGTTAAAAAACTCTTTAAATCAAATAATCACTATTATTTTTCAGATATGATTTGGTTTACAACAAAATTAGCACAAACTGGTCAAGTTTCAATTCATTCAACTGTTAAGTATATAAAATTAATTTAAGAGTTTTTAATGAATGAATTTCCAAAAAGTTGGATTTCAAGAGAGCATATTACAACTTCGTATAAACAAGTTTCTAAATTAGTCATTTCAAATTTGACTAAAAATACTTATCAAACAAATACTTTTGATATTTCTGCTGATGAATCCACTTATGGTCAAGATAAGAACCTAATAATATGTTTGATGTATTGGGATATCGTGCATAATTACTCAATAACTAGTATTGTTAGTCTAAAAACTATAAAAAGATGTAATGTTAATATAATCATAGAATTAGTTAATGATATTTGTAAAAAATATCAACTTGATATACAAAAATGTATGATATAGCTTACCGATAATACTGCCTATTGTTAACATTAAAATTTTATACATTTTTGATCATAACTTTTAATGTATCATACCAAATTGGATGAAACAACCATCATTGGAATCAGCTCACTGAGGTGATTCTAATGAGCACAAAGTCATGTGATTCTGATTATGGGATCATAAGATCAGAATGATTTTGATAAAAGTACTAATTCTAGTACATATAATTTGATTCTGATTGGCTCAAATTATTGTACCAGAAATCTTATATTTCTTATAGATCTTACAGATATTACAGATATTACATTTCTATTAGATCTATCATTTCTAACAGATCTATTATTTCTATTATATCTATTATATCTATTATATATATTATATCTATTATATCTATTAGTTCTTATTATTATAAATAGTATTTATTAGCAATAACTTATCACTGCTAAGTCATCACACCTTATCAAAATTGTAAGCACTAAACAAATTACTGATACACAAGCACAATACATAATTAATACTGTCATTATCTCTACAATTGAGTATTATCTTCATAACATTGTTCTTAGCCAAAATATATGCAACAAAATTCTTACAAGCATATTGGACTGGTTAAAAATAAGGCTAAACTCAATCACACAATCTCTACAAGTACACTACTTCATCCTCAACTTTACAACATTCACAATATATGAGACATTCAATTACAACATCATATTACAAACTTTATTAAAAGACTCAATTCACCTGATCTTTTGAGAATAAGTACCCATATTAGACTCCAACAATTTCAAAATAATTTATGGTTATCTATCAGTATTTTAATACCATAAACTGCTGTGCAAGGTACCTCCCTTGATCGGTACCCTCCTTGATTTGTACCAGGTATATTACAAGTTCATTTAACATGGATTTTGTAAGATACCCGGGTACAAATCAAAGACTAATGATAATCCTATCATTTTTTTTCTCGCTAATGCAAACCTTTTTTTTTTTAAATTTTTGTCTTGCAAGCATAAACATCACAATTTATGAAATTAAATTAAAATTTAATTGTTAAAAATTTCTTGAACCTCTGATTTATATCGATAAGTGTCTAACCTATCTTCCCTCTATTCAACCTATTTTGACGCACTTTATTAGATATAGAAATGTAGATATAATGATGTGCTTTAACCTGAAAACTTTGATTAGCATAGTAAAAATAAGATTCTTGGGTATTCCATAAATTTGTCACAAATCAAAAAACATTATTGCATTATGTGAAAGATCAATGGTGAGTTTATTTAAATCTTTATGAATTTATAACTGCATGATTGTAAGATTATTCAACCCATTGGTTCATAAAATTTTCTACTTCATTCTGAGTATAGTAGTATTCAAATTCCACTTCCTGAACATCTAAAGAATTTGGTTGATTCGGGAGATAGGGTTGAGACAAAAAGCATTGTTGGGCTGTGAAACTTTGTTGGAGTGGGGGATATTGTTGGGAAGAGCCTTGTTGAGATGAAAAGTATTGTTGGGGTAGGAAATATTGTTGGGAAGAGCCTTGTTGAGGTGAAAAGTATTGTTGAGGTGAAGTGTCTTGTTGGAATAGAAAGTGTTGCTGGGGCAGGCCTTGTTGGAGTAGGTGTTGCTGGGGCAGGCCTTGTTGGAGTAGGTGTTGTTGGAGCAGGGTGCCTTAGTGGTGCAAATGTTGTTGATTTTGTTGGATTTGGGTTATTTCACTATCAATAAAAATAAGTTCATCAGCTTTGGAGCCTTCAACTTCGTAGCCTTCAACTTGATCGTAGCCTTTAACTTGATCGTAGCCTTCAACTTGATCGTAATTAAAAATTAAATTTTCTTCTAATCCATTACTTGAAACTAAGATACCACAACATTTAAAAGAACATTTGATAAGTTGGGTATCAATAACATCCCATGCACGTTGAATCCATTCTGCAATAACATTATACGGTGGACGTTTTATTTGACCAGCTGGTGTTAATTCCCTTATTTCCTGCATCATCCATTCATTATATATAAACCTGATCTATTAATAAGTATATATAAATAAAATTAAATAAAAGGACACTTAAATGCGGTTTTTTAAAAAAAAATAAAAAAAAATAAAATTATAAGTATAATACTGTATACAAAAATAAGAATAAAACCTTTGCTTTGAAAGATTTGTTAATCAATACATCAAGTGGTTGTAGTTTCGATGTTAGCTCTATAGGGATGACTGCGATATTAGTATTTTTTCTAGAAAGATTACTTTTAACAGAAGAAACTAAGTGACCCTTAAAAGAATCCATTACTAATAGTGATCGTAGATTTTTAGCACATGGTGTTCGATTATTCCAAATTGCATCTATCCAATACTCCATTTCTGTTTCGTTCATCCACCCTTTTTCGTTTGCTCTAACTATTACACCAGATGAAAACTGAAGCCTTGAAACATTCTTTAGTTTAAAAATAACCATTGGTGGTAACTTTTTACCATCTGCCATACATGCAAGTACAACAGTAAAGCAGGATTTTTCATAGCCACAAGTCCTAATGCTAACAGTTTTACTTCCTGTATCATTAATGGTTATATTATTTGGCATATCAAAAGCGAGAGGGAGTTCGTCCATATTACCCATCAATAGCAATGGGTAATCATACTGGAGACAGCAGTACTGAACAAAATTTAAAAATTCTTGCCGTTTTGTCTCCAAATCTGCAGGTAAATGTTGTGCAACAGTTGTTCTACGACAGTTACTAAAATTATAACGTCGTAAAAAGCCTGCAAGCCATTTATCAATTCATCTAAACTGACCAATATTGGGATATTGGAGGGTATATTGCTAAGATTTTGCTAAAGCTGCTGCTTTAACCTGCACCATACTACGACTAACTGGCTTCAATTCATTACAGTGAACTCGAATCCAGTCAGCAAGTTCAACCTTAAGATCAGGATAACTAGGTTTCGCTCCACTATTAAGATGTTTCACATGTGGTTGAGCCATCATTAGTTCACCCCGTTTGTTACACCAATCTCTAATTTGTTTTGGTTAAATTTTAAACAGATCAGCCATTCCACGCACAGTAGCTTCCAGTGCTCTTTCTAGGTAAGTAATAACAAAAAGCTTTTCCCGGGCAGTCCATTGGCGATTTTTGTGTTGGTGAAATCTTGTTAAAATATTTTCTAGATGCATTGTAATCAAAGTTTCTTAAAAAAGTTTTTTTTTTTAAAGGTTCCTTTTTAAAAGTTTCTTTTTCTTAAAAGTTTCTTTGAAAAGTTTTTTACCAGTAAAAAAAGTGTTTTTTAAAAAAAACATCAGTGCTTAAATATGTGTATTAAAAAAAAAAAACAATTGCTTAAAAAAAAAAAAAAAGGAAGTGAAACTGATTCAAAAACAAAAAAACGAAACCGCTTCAAAAAAAAAAAAAAAAAAAAATTTAGCAAATTTAACTTTCAGGTATCATTTTACCCTTTTGAAATATTTAATGTATATGTATATATTTTAATTGATCATAAAATTTTAAAAGTATCGTAGTATTGAAATTTTTTAGCTTATAAACTGTGTTAAAGTGCCTTTGCGAAATGGGTATTTTACAAGGCAATTATTTCCACTTAATATACCCCTTTACACAATATCCCCCATGTAATATACCCTGTGCCATACAACATACCTGGGGTATATATCAAGGTTTGTTGATACGTGGAATGTAAAATATCCGGGTATCTTGCATGGCAGTTTACGGTACATGATAATCCTATTATTGATGGCCCCAACAAACATATAGTTAATTTCAAGATTATTCAGCTCTTCAAACACCTT